AAGCTAGCAAGCATTTTCTAAATAAATTCTCAGTGTAACCTGTTGCTGGCTTTAGTGTGATAACTTGATCCCATTTCTAAATTTAACTGCTATGGTACAAGTATGTAGTAAGGGACAGCCTCACCCTTGATTAATTTGTCTACTGTCTTTTAAAGCCACCTTGACCCAAACAAGTTTGGCAGAGCGTTGTGCACATGCTTTGATTCCAAAGCACTTAAAACTTACTACGTGTGTCGCCAGGGCTGCTTTATACAGACAGGAGAGAATTGGAGTAGCAGATAATGTCTAGATGTGGGGTACAGTGTTGTGACCAAGCCTGTTGCCTCATTACCTTCCACTTCCTAACCGTGCCCACTCCTTGGCCATGATGTACCACACAGCTGCTTCATTAGTCCAGCATATAGAACATCTTTCAGCCTAAGAGCAGAATTTCATCATGGAGAAGCTATGGGTATGATCAGAAATGGGGGAGAGGGAATGTCAGAACATTTTAGTTTAAGCACGTACTGCCCGAAACAGAAGCTTAGAAGAGGCACTTCAACCATTTAGATTGGGGATGGAGAAACAGCACAACAGCTGGGAAACTTCTAACAATCTGTGGTTGACGGGAAGGAGGCAGAACCAGGGAAGGGTGTCTGGCTGTCAGGGATGCTCCAGAGGGTCTGACTGAAGGACTTGATTTGGCCACCAGGCCTGAGGTCTTGTACTGCTGACTTACACCTTGAAGTGAATCTCCCATGACTCTGAAACAAGGATACAGGCAGGCCAAAGAGCAGCCAAGGACAACAAGGTAGCAGAGGGAGGGAGGTAGCCTGTCCGAGAATCTTAGGGAACCGCATGAGATGGCAAGTCAAGGCTTAGAAACTGTAGCACAAAACACAGAGAATTTTGGCATAGGTTTCAACCTGATGCAGTGTTCAGGGGGTTAACTAGTAGTTTAGCTAGCTAGTTAACTAGCTTTCTAAGTAAGTAAGGTCACAACAGTGGGCAGCTATTCTGGGCATGTGCATCTAGGATCCACACCGCAACCTGGAAATATAAGAGTGCCCCATTTTTAGCCCTGCAAGCAGCCTCAAGTGTCTCACCACAAGTCGCTTTGAAGTTCCTAGTTAAGAGTTCCAGCTGATCTCCACAAGCCTGAGTGAGCTCGTTGCACCTAGACAAAGAGGTTTTCTCAGTGTTGGCACAGTGAAGCTGCTGGCCCAACTTGTACTCTGCCACCTGTCACTGCCCAGGGTGAGGGCTGCTCTTCTGTAATGCTCTAGGGATAAGTGTTGAAGTACGGGCTCTAGGTCCAACCAAAAAAGGCCCAGAAATGTAGACAGCCATCTTGATCCATATCAGGAAACCCCTGCTGGCAGTTTTGCTCTCAAGAAGGAGCAGGCCCTTGGTAAATCCAATGGGCTTTAATTGCTCATTCAGGAGAATCCAATCCAAACATACTTGGCATTACAACTCCGTTGCCAACAACAACAGATGGTTACTGGTAGATCTACTTCCCCCAAAGCTATTGTGAGGAGTGCATGAGGCCTGGAGGGAACAGGGAAGTTTGAGGGACTGGAAGAGGGCACCGGTGTCGTAGCTAATAAAAGATCCTGGCACTTCAGCCTGGTGAGCTCTGGGCCTGCTGGACCTCTGCTGTTTTAAATATTTTCTTTTACAGATGTAGAAGAGAAGATCCAACAACTGAATAGCCGTGTGTCTTATTTAGTGTGCATTGTAATGTGCAAGGCTGCATGTTGATATTGAAGCACTGATGGGAAAGAAGCCCTGTTTTGGTTTTTATTTTGTGTAAAGAGCGGCTGTAAATGAACGTTAATATGAATGGCATTCATGTCTGGTGTTTGGAAGCAAGCACTTGCTAGAATACATAAATTCTAAACTAAATAGATAATTAAAAAGGGGATTTATGGGACACTGTTAAACAACGTGATTTCCAAAATAATTCTACTGTGGCAAACTGGTTTGCTGTGTCCAGCCAAACTCAAATATTTCGAAGACACTCAGGAAAACATTGCCATGCTACTACAATTTTGATTTATCCTTGCTGAAGACGGCATGCTAATCATACCAGCAGGTCAATGTAGGTTTCACTGGACTGTAAAAGATTAATGCTTTTATTATGGTTTTGTATTCTAACCAAGTGCGGGGAAACTACTTCATTCACATTTTGGCAATTAACTTGGCTGGTTCTGCATGCTCCACTACCTAATACATATGGCACAGGGAAATTGCATGTTTTATTTCCCTTATTGTATAATTGGCATTGTACCTGTTCTACACATTCAGAAAAATTATGTGAATTAGCTCTCCTTGGACTGTTCCATTCCAGAATTGTGTGTGTGTGTGTGTGTGTGTGTGTGTGTGTGTGTGTGTGTGAGAGAGAGAGAGAGAGAGAGAGAGAGAGAGAGAGAGAGAGAGAGAGGTTTAATTATCCCACCTATCAGAAACTGTATACTCAGAAAACTAGTATATCATGGACAAGAGTTATAGCCTAGTCTCCTCTGTATTTCTTTTGAAGAGTAGATTTTGCCTCTGTTATTAGCCATGGAAATAAAAATAATTATATAATAATAAAATGACTCCAAAATCTCAGTCTTCGTTCTATGTAAACATTAATGGTTGGTTACAGATGAACTCAGTGCATATGTGACCACATGCAAAATCACTTATCCTCAATATTCAACCCTAGAAAGAAACCATTTCTACCAAACTCAGCACCTGACTGGAATTTTCCTGCCCATATACATGGACACTATAGGCATCTTCCATAATTTTTGGTAAGCTGCCACAGAGTAAAAACTATTTGATACAAACCCAATGACAAATGGGTATGTATTTGTCACATGAACTTAGATTTAGCATTCCATATAGCTCCATTGAATTCATTTTGGACATTATCCAAAAGTGCACAAAAGGGTGTTCACAAAGAACTTTGAAACTTTGATTCATGTCTCCTACTATGATATTTAGAGACATGACCAACTTAACTTTGATTGAGTGGCCTAAACAAAACTATGCATATTTGTAAGGCTTTGAAACTCCAAAGACCAAATTTCTTGCTAATAAAAATTCATTTGAACTTTTTATCTTCTGTATCTGATTACTAACTTTTAAATGGGTAGCACAATTCTATGACTGCTAGAGTCCAGCTGGACCGAGCATTTGAGAGTCCAGACTCAGGGCCAGACTACCAAAGTTCTCAGGCAGCCTATGGGGGTGACCAAGATGCACAGTTACTTTGGGAAGGGGCTGGGAACAGGGGAGTTCCTCAGAGACTGACGAAGCAGGTATGACTGTCATCCCATGATGTTACATCACAACAGTAGGGCTACCCAGTTAGAGGACTGGTGTGCAGAGAGGAGGCATGCCTGTTCCCAAAAGGCCCCTCCCAAAGGAATGGGGCCCAAGCATACTTATAAAGAGGTTCCTAGAAGTGAATACTAGATTGGATTCAACAATCCACTCTGTGCATGCTCAGTGATTCATTCTGGGTGATGGTGCTCCTGGAAAACCCTTTGGAGAGTATAGAACTTTTTGCAAAGAAAGATCTGTGGCTCTGAATGTGCCAGGGAGTAACCCTAGATCACGGCCCTTTGGAGCATCCCCCTCTCATTGGCAGTGCAGAAAGAACTGTACAAGTTGCCCATGGTACCTTGGAGAAGGGACTGAGAGGGCAGGGAGAGGAAGAGACAGACACCCACCATGATCTGTGCATCCTGGCAGAGCCTCAGCTTCCTCCCCTCATGTATGACACTCAGCAGAAATCAGCCAGCCATCCAAATCCTTTCCAGGGTGGGAGGAATGCCGGGCCACCTCCCTGCCTGTCTAGGATGCTTGCAATTCTCCAGCTTCTGAGGGTTACAGACATCCAGATCGGATTGCATCCTGTCTATACCCACAAATTTAATTCCCTCCCATTTCTCTCAGAGCATGGTTCCTTAATATTATACTCTGGATGGGAATGCATTTGTGAGTCAACACCCATTTTAAAGCATTTATTTTCAAGATTACAGGGGAGAAAACAGGGCTGAAAATGATAAGAACGTTATACTTAAAAAGATGTGTATTGACTGGTTTGGACTGCCAATTACAGTACCACAAGGTATATTTCACATGATTTAACATGGTAAATCTGAAACTCTACATTAATTTACCCTTTCCGTATCATATTGTATAGCACTGTAAGATGTTTTCCTGCTAAAATGTGGTGATATAGTTTTAACATTCTTATCACCTCAAATGTTTTGCTTTTATGTCCATTACTTCAGAAGGGTCACCGCTCATTGAAGGGTTGGAATGCATGCTTTGTACAGCAGAACCAAATCCCAGCCTAGGTCTTTCCAGTTAAAATCCCTTTTGGGCAGCGAGACTAGGAAGCACAGTTGCTTGAGACCTTGGATTACCGCTCTTAGTGTGATGAGACCTGTCTAAACAGGCTGCCCGCCTAATGTTTAGGACTCCAGCTTCCATGATTTCCAGACATGGGCCATACTTGCTAGGGCTCATACAAGTGGAAGTCGGAAATGTCTGGAGGCACTACTATCAATATTGTCTATCAATGTATTTTGCTGTTATATGCCATCAAGTCACCTTCAACTCATAGCAGCCCTTTGCATGAGAATCTTCAGATGCCCTATCCATGACACCCTTGTTCAGCCCTTGAACAATGTATTCAAGACAAAATAAAAACAGGTTCTCAACAATTACATAAGTGACATATAATACAGAACAGATTGATAGTATATAACATCTTTTGAATGCTTCATAGTAAGCAAAATCAAAATGGGTTGCACAAAAATGTCCAGATAGAATATTGTTATGCAGCAGCATTGAGACACTTAGTTATTTGTGATCCGTGGTATCTGGAGATAAAATATTTTGATAATTTCTACCTGATTAATAAGTTTGATTATTGTAAAGATTATTCTGAAGAAAGTTAGGTAGATAGCAGACATTTATCAATGTGTTCTTTATTATGTATGCATTATTTTTCCTACCTTTTTAGGTTTTGGTGTACCACAATCACTTTGAGCCGGTAGGATGCGAACAGGTATCTTGCATGCTTCTGTCCTGTGGGTTTTAGGGGGTCTGGGTGGCGGGTTTGTAGCTTGATTTCCATATCTCCTCAACATGTAATACTGTTCTTCTGTTATCTCTTCCACGGTAGACTTTATTGGGAAATACTTGATGTCTTCTACATGTTTGCTCAGCAACTGGAAGGACATATTTAAACGATGCACAGGAGCTTCCCAGATTTCTGTGGGGTTGTTGAAACTGCTGATTAACAAGAAAGAATCTATGATTTCCTCTTCAAGCTGCAGGCATGATACACCAGCCAAAATGTCCTCCTGGACAGAAAGATCCCTTATGGAGACTTTGACATTGAATGGAAAGCGGAAGTCTTTGCAGAGCTCTGAAAGTGAATACTGTCTCTTGTCATGGAGAATTTCAACAAAGCCCCCTTCCATGAACACTGGAAGAAGTACATTCTTTCGGGTTTTATTTTCCAATAGCACTTGTTCACAGGCCAAAGCATTCTCTACTTTCTGCCTTCCCAGGTTGACATCTTCACTTGTCTGGTGCTGGGGAATGAGGAACTGGTCTCCAGCAGAAACAGAACATAGCTCCTTGTAAGGAGACTCAAAAGCTTTGGTGGCTATAACATGAAGCTTCTCCTTGCTACTCTTTGCTATTTCTAGATCATAGGCAGTTGGAAATTCTCGGGGTCTTCTTTTGAACTTCCCTTGGTAGCTGGTAGGAATTAAAAAGTGTCTTTTGTAGGAACTGCTCTTGATTTCAGATGCTAAGATTCTTGTTGCCAGACACTTTTTGTAAACTACAATTTCTCTACCCGGACACAATAAATTACCAAAGTGTTTATTTCCAGTGGAACCTTCAATTGCTGCAACAACAACTGGAAATTCCTTGCACATCATTTCCAGTATATCTTCCATTGATACTGGCTGAAGGAAAGTGCTAACATTATAACAGTCCGTTACATCTTTGACTTCAACATCTAAATCAGAAAGGAATTGAACGATCTCTTTTTGAACTGAAAAGGTAAAAAAAAACAAAATTCAGGTCAATGGATAATTCAGGCCAAAGGGTGGTGCCAACAGACTAAAAGCCTATTATTTAAAATTGCAAATATTTTCAATAACTATGACATTCTCTCTTCCACTGTTGGTACAAGATTGTAAAAGCACATATCTGTAGTTTACCCATTGCTATCAATAGAAATAATAAAAATAGTATGCATGCTTTGTAATAGTCAAAATCATGAACACACATTAACACTGACCTACCTATTAACATTATTATTAGCCCATATTGCAGAGAGTGTTACCTGAGAAATAGTGGCTTGCACTTAGTAAAACACTTTTATTGAAGGAGTACCTATTGGCCTTCCCCAGTGCTGCGCACTCCGGGTGTTTTGGACCACAATTTCCACAGTTCATGATCACTACCCAGACGGGCCATAGCAGGTGGGAGCCAACACAGTTGCAGGGCACAGGTTAAGAAAGGCTGGTACACACTTTCTGTACACATTGATGGTACATTCCAGGGTCTTCATGAGACCATTCCATGCAAGGCTGCTGCGATCAACAATACTAAAGAATTGTAACAAACCCACCTCTTCTATAAGCTATGCAAAGAATAAGGCAATTGTACTGAAGCTGAAGGAGAAGATGAGTGTATTCACCCTGAGCATATCAGCTAAAAATGGATTACTTCCTCTTAACGGTAAGTATACGATTTATAATAAAGCATGTGCTGACTGCTGTTGCAGCCTCAGACATATAGTGCATCAAAGAAAATGTGGATATCCATTTTCCATGGTTCACAAACCAAATCGCTCAGCCTATGACAGTGAGTTGCTTTGAGAAAGAACATGGCTCAAGCTCTTTAGAAAATATTCATTGTAGTTTATATGTTGCACAGTGTAGCACATGGCTATGACTGGAAACAGAAAAAGCACTGAAACACACATAGGGACACCAAGCTGTGAAACATCGCTCTTTATTTCATCTGACAAATAGCTGGATGTTTAATTTAAGACCCATTCAACCTGGATGGAAAGTCAGGGTGGGGGTGGGGACTTAAATCTAATGGCAGAGGTAGGTATTTCTCTGGAATATATGTGTGTATCTTTAAAAAGCCCACTTCCTTCCCCTCCTGAATCCTGTTGAACATCATGTTTCTCTTGTTTGACTCTAGGGGCTTCAATTCATGAGACATTCATTGTGCTATCTTGATACCTTGACCATGGTAGCTTGTGGGTGCTTTGCATGTCATTGTCATCCACCAGAGCATCTCCCACGCTTCCTGGGCTTCTTGGGGCTTTTTAATAAAGAGGATAATGAACTATTAAAGGGCTAAAAAATTAGGATGAATTTTCACAATTTCATCATGCCACAAGCGGAGAAAGAAAAACCCTGGGGGTCAAAAGAGCTACAAACAAGTTGATCTTAATTCCTTAAAAAACCCAAAAGCAGGAACTTTAGTAAAGCAGCAGGCTATGACTGCTCAGAAGCCTAATGCAGAGAAGCCTCAACTGCCATGTCCATCCAAGCACAGGAAGAACCCTGGTGGACCAGGCCGAGGGGCAGCTAGCCCAGCGTGGTGTCTATGGAGTGGCCATCCACCTGCCTGCAGGAGGCCCCCAGTTGGGTTCCTCAGCACTTGGCAGATGGAGCCATCTTGCTTCTGCTACTGGAGGCAGCAAAGCACCATCATGACTAGCCTCCTCCATATATTGTTCTGCCTGCCTGCCTGCCGCTCTCTCTCTCTCTCTCTCTCTCCACACACACACACACACACACTTGGTCACACACATACAGCAACACCAATGGGAAGGACAATACCGAATGGTGTGACATTCATGCTATCCTTCACGTTATAGAGAAGCTGTGGGAATTAAATGGGTGGTTAATGTAACCTCTACTTGCAGCCTACGAGGAAACAGTAAGGTAGGTATATGGCAGTAATAACAGTCAACTGCTCTTTGTGAACATGAAAGCATCTTCCAAAGCTGGAGGAAGAGACCTACTTCACACCTCATCAACAACCTACAGTAAACACACTGTGGTTAAAAATGTGGTTCCTGTACACCTGCTGTTTCCCACTGCAATTGTGATAGCTGAACTTGGAGTGCTGGGTTCTTGAAGGACGAACCACACCAAGTGTGAATTCATGGGCAAGATATCCCTGTGCTGTTTATCTTAGTGGATGCATATATGCTCCCACTGCATTTCCAAAACCCTGACCAAGTGAAAACTGGTTCACAAGCAAGTTCCCTGTAGATTGACCAGCTTCTCATGACAAGCAAACCATGCAATGCTTATAGGCCGGGGTGTGTCGTCCTGCCATGTCAACATGCAGTGTTTTGTCAGGGTGGCTTAGGTTTGGCTGATGGGCCGGCCTGTGGCCAGCCCTTTAGGCTCACTGCAGGCTCACCCACCCCAGCCCTCTTCTTTTCTTTCCTCCTTTTGAAATTGTGAAAACTGGCTTCCCAACGGCTTTCCATGATCCACGTTCAGGCAGCCAACAATAGTTCCAGTACCATTTGCCCATGGCTCCTACCACTGCAAGCCCTATTCAGTTCACTGTGGTTTCCCTGCCTTTTTTATTTCTTATTTTTATTTGCTTGTGCTCTCTGAATCCTGCTGTGAAGTCAGATCAGCAATCCTCATTCAGCCAAGTAGTGCTCTTGAAAGTGCTCTTGAAAGTGGGGGGCAGTTTGCCTGAGATGGCCCCACGTTTGTTCCAGGCAGAATCCCTGCCTTCCCCACAAGCCCCTTTTCGGAAGGCATCCAGATCTGAAATAGCTGATCTCAGAGGGAGGAGAGGAGGAAAAGTGGAGGGACGCATGGCAAGCCTGAAAGGATTCATGCAGTGAGTGACCTAGACCACCATTCCTGAAGAAGGGGCCTTGAAGAATCGGGGATGGGAGCTTTGGACATTCAGGGAGAGACAAGGCCTTTGAAGCACCCTCAGGGTCACGGCCCACCGCTTCCCAGGCAGACCCTGAGGGCAGAGCTGTTTGGGCCAGGAAAGGAGGAATCAAAGAAGTGGAGGATGGAGAGCCATTGCCATGTCAGGTGCCTAGCCCATGATGGGGCGTCGGGAGAGACAAGCCACTAAGTTGCAGAGGTCTCGCCAGCTGGTCCTTCTCAGCAGGAGGCACTCTGAGGGTGGAGCCCACATGGAAAGGGAAGGGTTTTGGGGAGAAGGTCCCAGTTTGGGTCATCACGAGCAGAGGCTTATCTTTCAGCTTACTAAAGGGTTTTGTGGGTTAGTTTGCCTTGTAGCTGCAACATGCCAAGGAAGACCTTCATTGCGGGGAGAGTGCCTGGTGTTTTGGTGTCCAAGGGCCAGAAGGGAAGGCCTGAGTTCATGCTGTTCACAAAGGCAGCCAGGGTTGGGAGGCAAGCTGCCCGCAGGGGCTGCTGGGGCACTTTGAAGGAGCATCTCTTCACTTCCCACCTGACATAAGCAATCCTAATGTAAGGGGGGGGGGGCAGAAAGCAGCAGCCAGGCTGTAGCAAGCCCAGTGGAGCTCAAAATAGCAATAGGGTGGGTAATGCCTTCCTCCTGCTGTGTCACAGAGGATGCCCACAGGTGTGCTGAGGGCGAGCAAGGTTTGCTGTGCACAATGATGGGACCATGAAGGATGGACCTCACCCTGCACAGCTTGTGCCACAGACTAGGTTATGCTGTCCAGACCCGCACAATTTCACCAGTCAGGAGCTCTGTATCTTTGTCTACAAGTTGACAACTACCTCCTGCATTTCCACATGGAAAGAAGGTTCCCATTTGAAGAATTATGATTCTAGATGTTCGTGTCTCATTCCCCCATCCCTCCTGCCAAGCACAAAGCTAAATATATAAAAATAGAAAAGGGCAAAGGAAGGTGAAAAAAGCTTTCACAAAGGGAACAAAAAATATCTAATAGAAAAAGCACTAGGACAAATGAGAGAACCCTTTCTTGAAAGAACGAGAAGGCCACTTAAAAGATCCCCCAAACCCCTCTATATTGAAAAAAAAACCCCTCTGCCTACTTCAGACATCACATTAAATGGATTTATAAAAATAGGCTTGCTTTTATTATGTGTTCACAAAGGATTTGCTACCATTTAACTAAGGAAAAGCAAGGGAAAATGCTTACTTCACAGCTTCAGTTTAAACCATAATATTTAACAAAGAACATAAAAAATACATAACAGTTATTTCCTTAAATTGTCTTAAGCCTATCATGAAGAAGGCTAGACTACAGCTACTCTCCTCGATATCTTGTTTTTTAAGAGTCAAGACTTCTTTATGAATGTATTGCATGGAGGAACATTTATCCACTTGAACCTACCCACAGTCTGAAGTGCTAACCTTCGGAAACCAGTTTGGCACATTAACTGCCACTTACAAAGTAAGTGAGACTGTATGTGACCGAAACTTGTTTCTGTTCACAAATCACAAATTTGGGCATGCCCCATTCAGGATTTTAAATGTGAACAAGAATGTTTTAAAAAGGAAATGTTAGCAAATTCTGAAACTGCAATCTCATTTAAAAAGTACCCTTTTAAAAGCACTTAGAGTCTTAGTCACTACACACCTTTGAAAAACACCTGCAGAAATGGAAGAAATGGGGACTTTTCCCATTTAAAATGGAACTTTTCTTGTTGAAAGGAGCTGGAAAAAGAGATTGAGAATGAAAATGGGATTCTTGGAGAATGTGAAAATTGCTGAACTGATGCTGAAGATCAGGATGGGGGATGCAAATATATTAAAAGAGATTCAAAAATGTAAATAGATTCAAATAATATTTCCTTCCTTTGGCACAATTCTATCTACACTGACACAACTCAGCCTATTGGGTCACCTACACCTGCGTTGTCCATACTGGCTGGCAGGAACTCTGTAGCGTCACCAAAAGCCCTATTGGCTGAAGATGGTGGGAGTTAGGAAGCCCGGAACACTCCAGACTTGGGAAGACTGTTCCAGAAACTCATAAAAAATTATATTCTCTGAGATTCTTTTAACTGCAGATGAACAGGTCCTGCAATACAGCTATGTCATATCAAGAGCATGCATGCAAAACACTTCTACCTATGTGCAGCTGAGTGGACCAAAACAGGGAATTATCTTTCCAGAATTACAATACTTTTTCTCAGTTCTCTTCTCCCTATTTTAACTTGAGATCTCCATAGTACACACTCAGACACATGCGCGCGCACACCCTGGACTGCTGAGTCATATCTATAAAACAGTGTAGTACATATGCATGTAAAATGTATGCAATCAATTTTGTCTGGGATTGAAATACATAAATGGAAACCCTTTCTTCCAGACTCCACATCTGGCAACTTTACCTGGTAAAGCTTCAGATCGCTCGCCTTGTAATTGCATATTTCAAATAACTTTTGAATCAGGCGCATGAAGGCTAATCGGCAAAGGTTTTTGACACTGATAGTCATTCACTTACATTTCATCACTGCTTGTACTGCATATATCGGTGCTAGAACAACACAACCACTGCAGCCCATAGAAAGCAATCTGGTAGAGTCAGCAGCACTGCAGGTATGGCTAAATGTCACACTCCGACTTCTGCCCTTAGGGATCTTCCATTCAGCGACCTCTTTCAGGGTGTAGAGCTGGTCATCTTCCCATTCATAGAAGTCTCCTTCTTGTGAAAGTGGCAAGACAACGGACTGTGCCTTGCCATCCCGGATGATTTCACAATTTACTGTCAATATCCTGTTGTTTTCTTCCACAGAGCTAAATATGATCTTCTCCCCCTGTTCGATGGTCAGATTTCCTACTTTTACATCCTTGGAGCAATAGAAGCAAGGCTGTTGCAACGGGGTGGGCCCAATCAAATTTCTTCGCACGATTTCTTCAACATTAGCATATGGTGTTTTATCAGCCACTATCCTGCAAAGAGCTTTAAATGAAACATTTCAGTCAAGGCAGGGTTCTTAAAATTGTGCAAGCACTGAAAAGTAGAGATATTTACTTTCATATTTGTAATTTATTTTCCTTTATTAGTACTCAAAATGAACTTACTGGCTTAGAGCTGATGGCCATTCTAAAGCAAAACTATCAGAATGGTAACTGTTTAAACCCAAACCCATAAATTAACTATTAATTATTTAAACATCACCAACCAGTTAATTAAACCACTGGAGCAGAAAGAATTCACCCAGAGGACTGTAAACATGGCAATATACATATGTGTATCTATACATATATGTTTAGCTCTCTTGCATTGGAACCATCCTTTAGAGTAGTGTTTAAAAATAATCTCTTTGAGTGTGTAGTAGGGAAACATGTGTGTGTGTGTGTGTGTGTGTGTGTGTAAGGATGCATTACTACAGTGTGATCTGTTGGGAGCCACGTGTTAATGGTGAGAGGAGCCAAAACCAAAGGGGCGTCGACCACCTCTTCCCCTTTCTTCCTGCCCAATCAGCTGTCAGGAGACAGAAAGGCTGCTCCTGTCGGAACGCCTGAATGCGTCGCCCACAGAGGTCTTTGGCGTCAGGCTGAGGGCTATCAGGGTAGCCAAATGCATTGCCAACGTAGAAGTAATGCGTCACCAAAAAAGAGCACAGAACAAGGTATAGGTTTGGGTAAAACTGTCACATGCTAATTTAGATGCATAGTAGAAATATAGAAATGATTGCTGTAATTTAAATAATTTCCAGGGCTTGGAGCCCCTTCAAACAGAGGACTGGAAATCAGGACAGTTGGCCATCCTATGTGCCCACCTGGATTCCAGAGTTTGCCACTTCCAAAAGGAAATCAGGGAAAGTGAACATGTATTCCTGGTAGAGTTGCCTGTGCCACTCATGTTAAACCATGTGCCACAGAAAGCCCCAGAGGGTTGGTGGGTTTCAAGAATCCCCAAAGAGACCTATGGGGCTGAGCCAGAGGTGTTCTGGGGATCAATGCTTCTACAGGCAAACCGATGTTGCAGAATGGCAGTTCTAGCTAGAGCTTTAGGATAAGGCAGAAACACCACTAAGCTGATAAAATACTAAAGGACAAGCCAGCCTGTCACTGATCGGGTCTGGCAATGACACCAAGCCTGTGGCCTTTGGAGCCCGTGTGTTTTCCTTCCTCTTTTCTGAGCAGAGTGGCTATTCAAGGTGTTATGAGGTGCACTGATGTAGCCACCTGCCTTTTCCAGGGAAAACTGATACAGCTCAGTCTGTAGGTATGAAGAGGGCATTTAGCAAGACCCTCTCCAAATGCTCACTGGAGAAGAGTTGAATGCAAGCGTGAAAGGAGCTGGAACACTCTTCACTGCCCTCTCCATAATCATCATAATACTATCTTTAAATCCTGAGTATCTGGAAATAATTCTGGGATGCTGTACAGGTGACACAGTTCTGTCATTAAAGACAAGGTAGAACTAATCTGGATGGATGCATGGATGGAGGGAGGGAGTTCCTTATGTCTTCCTTATCCCCCATCCTTGTTTGATGGTTTGGTGGTTGGGGCAGTTGTGAACACATGGGAAAAGCAGGCCTGGGGGGAAAGAGGCAGTGGGGGTGGCAGGCACTGGGTAACTGCAGCAACGATGGCCTGGAAAAGGGTCGCTGCTCCTAAGATTAGAAGGCGTGAACTAGTCCCAGAATTCACAAGCCTGGGTTCCAGGAGTTTCCAAGCAGCATGTGACAACACTGATAGATTAGTGTTCGCCCCGATTTTCATATTATTCATCACTGAATAGGCAAAGTTGTAATTTGCATGAGCAAATCTAATACACAAGTTAATCCAACAAAGAAGACGACTATGGATATGATGGATAGCCACACTACTAGACCATTAAGTCTGTGTTTAGGCACTAGAGGCATCTGGTTAGCAAGCTTTTAATTGCAACTTTGAAATATTATGAAATACAGGAGCTTCTGCAGCAGCAATACCTAAAGGGCATTTTTATTTCCATGTTAATCATACCCATTGGAATCATTTTCTTAGAACTATACAGAAAAGAAAAATTAAGTGCATATGTACATTTGTTGGGTTATTTTTTTTTTCCTAGAGGAAGATGCAGTGAAAAGTTTAGAGAACCGAGCAGCAAGATTTAACTTAGCAATGCAATTAATCCATAAGTTAAAGTGCCCAGAGAGCTCTGGCTATGGGCAGTATAGAAATGTAGCACTAATAATAATCATCATCATCAACAACAACAATGTTGTAATATCCTTTTGACGTGCAAATGGCTGGAATGGTGAGTTATGGAGAATATGTTTCTGCCCCTGAAAGCACCAGCACTGTGTCTCTGTCACCTCCACCTCCTCTCCTTGCAACATGCCCTTTGAGCTTCCCAGCACCTGCTTCTGAACAACTTCACCCATAGCTCTGTGGAATAAGGGACATGCATTTTCCAGCATTATGGAGAGAGGATGGGAAGAAGATCCAAAGCTGCTGTTTCTCTGTCCTGTGCAAAATTTAGTTCCAAGTGTACATCAATGGCATTGAAGAAGGGGCTTTTGTACCACCATTCCTGGCTGGGTCGTGTTTATTTACTTATTAATTATATTTATTTCCCACCTCTTTCCTTTACAGGAAGTCAAGGTGGCTTACACAGTTCTCTTCCTGCTCTCAATCTTATCCTCACAACAACAACCCTGTGAGGTAGACTGGACTGAGAGTCTGTGACTGGTCCAAAATCACTCAGTGAGCTCCATGGCTGAGTGGGGGACTAGAACCCAGATCACCGAAGTCCCGGTCCCATGCTCTAATCGGCATGTTGGAAGTTGTCAGACATCTTTTCTGTCTAAAGCAGGGGTCCTCAAACTTTTTCACCAGGGGGCCAGTTGAAGCCTGCCTGTGCTGGGCACAGGCCAGAAAGGTGGTGCCGGTGGAGCACGCAGGTGGCACGAGGGCAGGGGCCGGGGTGGTGCGTGCAGGGCGCGTGCTGAGGCGGGGAGGGGTGCTAGGTGAGGCGAGGCGAGGTGAGGTGAGAGGCGGGCACGCGCCGCAAGGCGGGTTCATGAGGCAGCAGCTTGCTCGCTTGGACATCATTTTCCCCGAGCAAGCAAACCTCTGCCTCCCCACGTGCAGGGCGAGGTGGGTGGCGGCGGGCGCGCAGGGCAGGTCCAAATGGGCATGGCGGACCAGATCCAGCCCCTGGGTCATAGTTTGAGGACCCATGGTCTAAAGTATACACAGGATTGCTCCTTAAATCTCTCTCTCTCCCTCTCTCTCTCTCTCCTTCTTTCATCCCTTTCCCCCTCTTAGGTTTCCTTACCTAAGTAGGAATATTCACACTGTACCTGGAAAATGTGGAGATAGCTCTACCGTAGTAGGACACAGGCTAGTATCTTCATTTTCTTGGTTGCTAGCGAGGATTTTTTCAACTTTTAATCCAACAACTTTAATCACATCTCCTGTTGACAAACAGCATTCAAGACCAAGCCTTTCCTGAGCTGAACCTGAAGGATAACACAAAGAAACAGATGTTTTGCAGATACTTAGTAGCTGTCGAAAAGTACTCCTCTGTTTCCTTTGAGGAACCATGTATGTGTGCTTGTTTGTGTATGTACATGCATATGTTAACGATAGTATATCATATATATGTCTGCTTTAGATCAAAATAACCAGGTAGGTTAGAGCAGCAACAACTTTTTGTAATGTTTCAGTCTACACTTTGAGTTTGGAAAGTGTGTGATAAGCCTTCTTTTGGGAACGGTGTATGATTTCCAAAAGAAACACAAGCTCCACTGCTTCGGCTTCTTCACTCCACCCTCTGTGAGTCCAGAAATAATGATTGATAATGCTGGGACTAAAGTTCTGGGAATCCACATTTCTTCTATACAGTTTCCTGCTTTCTTTGAATTATATAGGCTTATCTTAAATTTTTCTTCTCCCATTTCTAAAGGAAGTAAAAATGGGAACACCCAAAGAAAAGTTTATAGCTACTCAAAAGCTTATTACCAGTACCTTAATGAAGTTGACCTAGCTAGTCATATGGAAAGTAACTCTGAACTTTTTGTTCAGGGAGCCGTGCCTGACTGCATCTCAGCTTAGAGGAGAAAATCAGAAAGTGGCCACTGGCGTGTTTTGGCTGTACATGCAAGCCTGTTTATATCTTTCTTGAGAGAGATTTGTCCCAGATAGCAAAAGAAAGGCAGAAGGAACTACACATGTAATACAGCACAGCAGCAGCCCACTGATCTCCGAAGGCGAATCTGTCTCTTTCAGGCATCTTAAGCTGCTGCTTGAAGATACGAGCCCAGAGCCTGCTCCATCTCTGAGGTGGTGATGCTGAGAAAGGAATGCGTGGGCAATTGCCTCCCCACTATTATTGGCAGCGCTGGTGCTGTCAGATCGTATGATGTGGGTTCTGTGCATTCTTCATCATCAAAGAACAAGCTGCCTTGTCTCTCAGAAGAAATTTCCTGCTCTTTGGTTTCTGTTGCTTTGCTTGTTCTGCATTCATACTGTGAATGAACTAATGACTCAAATGGTATTTTCCAGAACCTGATCAGTCACACTACACTCAGCACAGAAATCATTGTTCTAGTCACTATTGTTTTGCCTTTTAATGAAAACATTTTGAGTGATAACCAAGATGACAGCTGATTAAGAAGGAACAATTTTGTAGGCATTGCCTCATCAATCCATTATCTGCCACCTCTGAATAAATTAATTCTCAGAAAGTGCAAAATGGATTAAAATGTTAATCAAAATTATCAGAATTATTCTGCTTTCCACTTGAATCTTGATCCCAGTCTGAAAACAAAATAAACGAACAAATCTGCTCACCATATGTTTATTGTATTATTTTTAATTGCAGTAGTAGGGTCGCCTTCCATACCATGCATGGTCTTATTGGCATAGAATTGTAGACAGGATAAGAAGGGTTATAATTGTATAGAAGACAGGACAAGAGGGGTTAGAGTTAGGGGCTGGAATCTTAGCCAGACTAAAAGACTATTTTAGCTGTAGTCAAGGCTAAACTGATAAAGAAGAGGAGAAATTACAACCCATTTTCTGAGATCCAGCAACTAACTGTGTAGTTTTTCTTGCTGTGTCTTGAGAATAGTTGTGGAAGAATGGGCTAAGCTGAATGTTGACGTGTTGAAAGAGAGCAAAGAGAGGGGACAGGTGGAGAGGGAAGAGGACAAGCCTTCAATCTTGAAATTCTAGGAGTAGGCAACTCTATGTCCTCCAGATGTTTTGATCTACAGCTACCACTGGGCATGTTGGCTAGGGCTTATTGGAATTCTCTCTAGATATTTTGGACTATATAAGTTGCCTACTCTTACTCCTTCTACTATTCTGAAATATGAGTCAACAAAAATATTGTCACTCCAAGCAAATAATGAAGGGAATGATATAGGTATATCTATAAAACTGTTTAGAGGCTGCTCTTACATCTGGATGGAGTTTAGAGGCCCAAATTGCTTTCCTCCAAGTAGGTGTTGGGAAACAGAAATGTCATTGTCTCCAATTCTTCACTTTCCTTACACTCCTTGAAACATAAAGAATACATAAGCGAGATGACGGAGTACCCTTAGTGGAGCCTCCCCCTCTCACTTTGAAGGCAAGAGGGAAAAACTGGAATGCATTTGCTCATGTACTCAGGTCTCTGCCGCACTTTCTGAGTGGGAGAGAGGTGCTTGGTGGAGAGGAAGCCACATGGCTTCAGAAAGTACCTGGAAATAAATAGACTCTGCTAAGGTATGGGAGAAAATGACTTTCTTTAAGTGAAGGGATGGTCACACATCTTTTTTTCTACCCAAACACTGCTTTGAGGGTAGCACATGTCCAAGGAAAGCTAGCTTGGGACAGGAGTTGTTTTTCCCATAAGCTGAATAACTCTGTGTTTTTCCTGAACTTTTCAGATGGGAAGAATATTCCTGCTCAGCATCCATTAACTCTTCGTTCCCTTTTCATAAATGATCCTTTCCCTTAAAGTAGTTATGTGCATTGTAGCCAAGTTACGTAGCATCTGCATGAAACCACGGAGTGGGGTCATCTGGAGTGTTGGAATGCATCGCATCAGTATGCTGATGACGCACAGCTCTCTCTCTCCTTCTCCTCACTTGCAGGCGAGGCTGCGGATGCGCTAAACTAGTGTCTAGCTACAATAATGGACTGTATGCGGGCTAAAAAACTGAAACTTAGTCTAGACGAGATTGAGGTGCTGTCAGTGTGTCATGCCTTTGACTGCATCAACTGCATAGATGGGGTCACGTTCTGCTTGAAGGAGCAGGTTTATCGCTTGGGGTGCTTCTTGATCCATCTTTGTCACTTGAAGTCTAGGTGGCGTCGATGGCTTGGAGTGCCATCTACCAGCTTCAGTGGGTGATCCAGCTACACTCCTATCTAGACAGGGATATCCGGGCTTCTATGCTCTGGTAATCTCTAGTTTAGATTACTGCAATGCACTCTACATAGGCCTGCCCTTGAAGATGATTCAGAAGCTGCAGCTGGTGCTGAATGTGGCAGCCAGATTAATAACTGGGACCCAAAGTTCCGACCATATAAGACCAGTTCTGGCCCACCTGCATTGGCAGCCTATATGCTTCCAGTCCCACTTCAAGGTACTGAGCCCTACCTGGCTTGGGACCGCAATACCTGTAGAAGCACCTCTTCCAACCCTGATCTACCTGGGACTGTATACTCTGGGGCCTTCCTCCAGGTGCCAACCCCTTGAGAGGCTTTGAGGGTGACAACTAGAGAAGAGCCTTTTTGTGGTGGCCTCCCATCTTTGGAACAACCTCCTTGCTGTGCCAAATTTGCAATTTTTCAGCACCAGATTAAGATAGCCCTCTTTGCCAAGGACTTTAAAGACCTCCCTGGTCATTGAGGTGCCTGATACTATTAGCCAGGTGTCTTCCTTTTATTCTTGGCTGGGTCTTTTTATTGTTTTTTTATTATTTTAAATGTTTTGTGCAATTTTAAATTAATTCTAATTTTTGTTAATGTTTGTATCTATTATATTGCATTGTGTTTTATACTCTTTGGCTATGGGCATTATAGAAATGAGAAGAGGAGGAGGAGGAGGAGGAGGGGGAGGAGGAGGAGGAAGAAAGAAGTAAGCAGGCTATATCAACATCCTGGCTGTGAGGAAGTATGATAAGGTATCCCTATCTTGGCAAGGGCTTCAGTACAGTTGAAAAATATGTATTCCTTATATTGAGTTACATACCTTAGTGGTATCTGGCACTGCAGTCTCCTTGATTTAGTTGTGATTTGATTATTTGATTATCAAATAATTCTTACATTTTTTCTGAAGATGATTTTGATGAGGCACTGGTTGTTTTGGAAAATGATAAGGTTCATTCTTTCCTTTTGGCTCATGTAAAATAAATATTCTGCTCTGACTCTCCCATTTGGTTCTTTAATTTGAATTTCCTGATTTTGCAGCTGTTCCTGACAGAACTGCTATTAAGCTCTTTTATGGTAATTTACACATTTGGTACAAAGTGCCAACTATTCCAATTTGCTACTCACATTGAACTCTTCTCTGCATACTTTTTTTTAAAGATCCTGTCTGCACTGTTAGAATATTTGTTAATATGGCTTCTTGTGTCATGCTATCTGTACGCTTCAGGTGCCATACAGAGGTCCATATTTTTCCATTTCATTCTTCCTTTTGAAATCAAAAGTTACATCTGTATTGGCTATACAGCTCTAACAAAAGGGAGTAGCCTAACCATTAAGTAAATGTTTTCTGCAGCTGAAAATTCTTGGCACCATCCTAAATATTTATCCTGGGATGGTCTCTGCCACATAGGCAGAATATCAATATTGACTGCATCAGAGGAAGAGGTAAATTGACAAAGCCCATTACTAGGTAGCCATGTGAATCATCAGAAAGAGGACGAAGGAAGACATCTATTTGCATAAGCTAATGTGCACAAATAATTACAGTTGTAGAAATATCAGTGCAATTTAATTAAAAATAAAATGGCATAGTAAGGAAGGATGTGGCCAAGTAGCCTGTTTGCTTGCAGCTTCTTCATACTGCTGTAGAAGGGCAACTTCTGTGATTTGTCTTTCGATGGTTCTTTATCTTTAGACCAGATTGGGATTGCACAGCCTTAAATAGAGGAGGACAGCCTTTCAAACCGAGGATGATCCTATGGCAGCCCTTCATAGAAAGTGCTGTCCGCATGGCCACCCTACAATGACCAGCTGTCCTGTGTGGTTCTTCCATCCCCTACCAGGGTAGCCCCCACCAGTGATTCCATTAGCTGCACTGGAGGAAAAGGTGAAGTAGCACATTCCCGAGAGTGATGTCTTCACTCTTAGAATTATTTCCATTAACAGCCGTTCCAGATGGTCTCAGAAACAGTGAGGTCCCTTTTGTTGCCTTGGATAGGGCATAGAAACATAGAAACAGAGCGAGTCAGAAGGGGTCTCCTGGGCCATCTAGTCTGACCCCAGGCTCCAGCCAGCTCCGCTAATGACATGCCCACCA